CCCCAAAACCCCAAAACCCCAAAACCCCAAGTGGAAAAATATTTTGTTGAGGTAAAATAACTAAAAACAGATAAACATTACTTGAAATTGAATAATGCTTCTTAAAGTATGATACAGTGAACTTCAATTCATTCATAAAAACTTTCCTTTTCTAAATATGTAAATTCATCTTCATCTTGATGCCCAACAAAAGGTTGCCTTAGCTAATTCATTTAGCCGAATTTTTACTTTTAGAATAAAAGTATGTCTTCTGAGCATTCATGCTTATTATCTGATTCATTTTATTTTAAGCTCTGATAATTTTTGCTATCGTAAACTGACATTCGACTTATATTACCATTAACTAGATTGAAATTATTCTTCATTTTCAGGGAGGTTTATATAACTCTTGGAGAATTGTGAATCTCAGTGTATTATACAATATTGCTCATATTTGTTTCCTTAATATATTTTTTCGGCCACACCAGAATGCTTTAATCATCATTTAAAGTTTGTCTCTCAGATTCTTCAATGATAGTATTGTTGTAAAATTGGTTTATTATTTAGTTATTTGACCCTCCCCCTACTCCTCCTTCAATATATTCGTTATATGTCTATTTAAGGCTATTCTCACTATAAGAACATTCAGAAAACATTCCAAATTCCATGTGAATTTCCAGACCATTATTATTTCCATTATCAATTATAGTCTAGTCACTGTTTAGATTAGCATCATCATCTTCACGTTCTTAATGATTTTAGTGAGATTCATCAAGTTTAGCAAGTATTTTAGACTCATTAATAACTCTTGAAGTTTCATTATTTTATTGCTGTTAAAAGGTGAACTCATTTGTATCATAAAAATTGCTAACTACTATTTAATCTTGATCTCCTTTCATAATATTAGACATAATTGATTTCTCTTGATCTAGCGATAAGACATTGGAATCTTATATACTCTACAATATTTGATTTGAATGATATTTTCTATTTGGTGAGGTTTATAATGATTGAGAAAATTTAAATGCTTCAAGGGCGCTAAAAACCATAATGTTTTTACCTATTTCATCTATCATTTTTAATTTTTATGCAATAACTTTATTTTCCTTTGCCCCACTCACACACTACTTGTTTATCTTCGATATTTTTGTGTTAGTTTTTGTCTAAATAATAGGAGTGTTTGTTTTTTCTAATCTTGACTTCTAATTTGAATTATTGCAAAAGCTTAATCTCGATTTGCTTTTATAAGAGGGTCCTTCATTTTAAAATGAAGAATTATGAGTTCTTGTTGAGGATAGGGACTCAAACCTATCTATACTTTTGTTTCAATAGTCTTTTCTGTTGGAAAAAGACTTTTTATTAGAATTGACTTAAGATTATTTTATATAAGAATGGCCAATACTTAATCTTTTTTTAAATTCCATTTTAATATTAAACATTTTAATTAGTCATTTATAAGTTAAGGACCTTGTTTTTTCTGCCAGATAAAATATATGACTTATCTGGCTTCCATATCTTACCCTTGCCTAGGAAATTCACATAGACTGAGTTGCTGAAGTTCTCTTACCTCACTTTCTCTATAACCTCTCTTCCAGTCAAATTTTCTCTGTTCTACTTCTTAGCAAACTCTGACTCTTAAATAATTTCAAGAATTGACTAATTATTTTTATCAAATGCTTCTCGTGTGTTGTCTTAGTAATCCAAATACTTACTGATTCCTTTCCCGAATTTACTCTTTTAACTATCAATTTCTTTCATTTACTCGAATTTCATAGGATTAATCTTAATCTACTCATTAGACTTGGTAATAATATCCTTGACCACCGATTTTACATACTCATTATTCATCCTATTGGGAGATTGGGAATTATTAGAAATTATCGAGTTATTGATTTTATTGATAAAAGTAACTCTTCTACTTGGACTGATATCCTTTTTCAAGCTCCAATCATGACTCATAAGCATCTGATTTTCTCCTTTTTCAAAGACTTCATTTAAATCTAAAAGATTATTCTCTTATTACTATTAGCCAAAAGTAATTTTGTTATGTTTCTTTGCCTTTTTTTGGATCTTAGGTGGCTGAGTAATCCAAGGAATATCATTACTATTTTAAGTATCGGCCATTTTTTTGTTAGTTGAATAGGCCCTAGCCTAAACAAACATAGCCTTATTTACTTTCTTATCGTCTTTGTTGATTTTAATGCCACTCAGTTATGACTTACTCATTGTGCTATACAATAATTCATTGAGCCTTTTTTCCTCCTCGTCCAAGTCATACTCCCCGTTAAGAATTTTCTTTACTAACTCCTAAGCGTTTTACTCTCTTTTAAAGTTAAAATAGTCAAGATGTGCTGGCAATTTCACAATCGTATTATTGGAAGACTTAATAAATTATCTCTCAAATTATTCAAATGTAATCTGCCTTATTCTCTGCAACCTTGAGATAGTTCTGGGTGGAATAAAACCCATGTCATCGTTTTACTGTATTTCATCAAGCAGTTAGACCTTAGTTAATTTTCTTTTGGATGGTGAGGGAGACCTTTTCTCAGACTGATCATCCTCATTATCAATATCAATTTTAGCTTAATGATTTCTAAGCTAGCTCTTCGCTCGCTAATTCTCGATTGCAATTTTCTGATTTCTAGTAAGTAGAGATTCATGTAGGATTGAGCCTAATAAGTTATTTTTCTTCTAAATTTTTCCATCCTCAAACTAATGTTGAACTACTATGTTCTTTACCTGCTCAACCTATATCCTCTCAGTTACCTTTGGATCAAACTGTCTATGATCAATCTTATTCATTATAAGCCTTTATGTCAGGTATTCAGCATCTTCTTCTTTTGGATCTGAACTGATTCTATAACTTCTTTTTATTTTCTATCTAGGAGATGAGTCAATCTTCTTAATCTTAAACGATGTGACTTGATTCAACTATTCTTTAAGATTAATTTTGGAAGTAGAGATTTCACTCATTTTAATTTATTATTTGCTCTAATCATGCTCTTGACCATTTATTTTAGGCAAGATAAATTAAGAATCTCTAAATACTGACACTGATGGGGTTTTTTACTTGATGTTACTTGCTAATTTACTAGGGTTAACTGATAAGTAATCTCTTGATTAGTTGAGATCGCTAATTCAAGCATTGAAAGTACTAAATACAGTCATATTTAGTTTTTATCGTTCATCTATTATTTAAGAGGCATTCCTACCTTTCTACTTTTAATTCACCGAATAAGGATTAGATATCTCTTTATTGATTTCTCTTGCAGATTCTTGAAGATTTTGATATTTATGTTTTATTTCTTTCATTATATTTCATTCAATCTAGTATATTTTTAACTATAAGGGGTTTTGGGGTTTTGGGGG